AATTTAAAATTGAAGAATATCCATCTATTGAACATAGCAAACATATTGAATTTGTAAAAATTTTTCTAAAGAAGTTGAGATTAAATATACCTAAGCTCCCAGTAGTATCAACAGCTCCGGTTTTTGTTCAAAATGGTTATGATAACCGACCTTTTGTTTCATTCAAGTTATATGATATGAAAATAGTGTCACTGTTGGATTCAGGCGCTAATAATTCTATTATAGGTAAAAAGGGAATACAGATTTTGGAATCTTTGGGTTTAAAAGTTAATAAATCAAGTCATAATTTTGTTAGTACAGCTGATGGAGCAAAACAGAGTGTACAGGGCTCTATAGAGTTACCTCTGTGTGTTGAAGGTAAATGTATGATTATAAAATTTTTGGTAGTTCCTTCAGTCAATTACGCGTTCATACTGGGCAGTGATTTTTGTAAGAAATTTCAGGTAAAAATCGATTTCAAAGAAAACATGTGGGAAGTTTGTGTGGACTCTGATAAAAATATTTCTTGTGCTTCCATAGTTGAAGATATTGACCTCTCAAATAATAAAATTTTTTCTTTAGACAATTTACCAGGATTATCGCAGGAACAAACTGCTTCTTTGGATACTCTTATTTCAAAATTTAAAATTCTTGGGGAAAAGGGGAAACTTGGTCGTACAGACAAACTAACTTACCACATCGATACTGGAAACGCGCTACCCGTGAAGCAGCGGCAATATTTAATGTCACCCTATATGCTTGGTCACTTGAATTCGGAATTGGACAAAATGTTGGCACTAGGAGTAGTGAAACCATCCAGAAGTGAATGGTCCTCTCCTGTTTTACTAGTAAAAAAACCAAATGGGGATTTTAGATTTTGTTTTGATGGGAGAAAACTTAATTCCTTAACAAAGAAAGATAGCTACCCTCTACCTGTTGTAGACAGAATATTGTCAATGTTGAATCATACTCAATTTATCTCGTCAATTGACCTACGTAGTGCATTTTGGCAGATAGCTCTTGATGAATCTTCCAAAGAGAAGACAGCTTTTTCAGTACCTGGTAGAGGTCTTTTTCAATTCGAGGTCATGCCCTTGGGTTGTGTAATGCAGCACAGTGCCTACAGCGCCTAATGGACGCAATCTTCGGTCCCGAGATGGAACCTAATATTTCTGTTTATCTGGACGACCTGATTATAGTTAGTCCGACGTTTGAGGAACATATCCAGTTATTAAATGAGGTAGCTAATCGTTTAAAAGAATGTAATTTATCAGTTAATTTCGACAAGTGTGAATTTTTTCGGCCTTCTTTAAAGTACTTGGGTTTCATAATAGATAAACATGGCTTGAAAACTGATCCAGCCAAAGTAAAGGCAATGGTAGAATATAGTCAGCCTAAAAATACGACAGAAATCAAACGATTTACAGGCATGTGTAGCTGGTACAGGAGATTCATTCCCCATTTCTCCACTTTAATGTCACCCATTAATGATTTATTGAAGAACAAATCCAAGGGCCAAAAAATTTCTTGGACAGACGAAGCTGAAAAAGCATTTATTAATATCAAACAAGCCTTAGTATCATCACCTATTTTGACCAGTCCTGATTTTAGCCTCCCTTTCACTCTTCAATGTGATGCCTCAGATTTTGGGTTAGGATGTGTGTTAACGCAAGTACAAGAGGGAGCTGAAAAGATAATTGCTTTTGCATCTCGTAGTCTGTCGAGGAATGAGAGAAACTACTCGGTCACAGAAAAAGAGTGTTTGGCATGCATTTTTGCTTGCGAACGATTCAGGGCATATATTGAGGGTGTTCATTTCACACTTATTACGGATCATGCTTCTCTAAAGTGGATGTTCAAAATTAAGGAACCGATAGGTAGGATTGCCAGGTGGACTGTACGCCTAAGTCAGTTTGATTTTGAAATTCAGCACAGGAAAGGTAAATTTCATTTATTACCAGATGCACTTTCTAGGAGCCCAGTAGATGAACCTACTGAGGAAACTTCTGATGACATTTTTGCCATGGAAAATCCTGATTGTATAAATTTAGAAATTGATTTGGATAATTTAGATTCATTTTATATTAAGCAGAGAGATAGTATTTTGAAAGACGCCTCGAGTTACCCACAATGGGAAGTAAAAAATGGATTTGTATATAAACTGCTACCATCTAAATCTCCTACAGAGAGTAATGTTTCAGAGTGGAAATTATTAGTGCCAAAAGGGCAACGTTTAAGAATTATTAAGTTATGTCATGATGTTCCGACAGCTTCACACATGGGTTATTACCGTACTTACGTTAGGGTTCTTTTAACATATTACTGGCCAAAGATGCGCCGTGATATTTATCGATACGTTAAATCTTGTAAAATTTGTGCAGCACAAAAGTCAACGAATCAGGGAAAATTTGGGTTAATGGGGTCAGAAAAATCAGTACGTTTCCCATGGCAAATAATAGCTATTGACTTGATGGGGCCATTACCGCGGAGTACTAATGGTTTTCAATATATTTTAGTTGTGAGTGACTGGTTAACCAAATATCCTCTGATTTGTCCACTTAGGAAAGCTACATCAGCTGCTGTTATAAAGTTTCTGGAAAATGAAGTATTTCTAGTATATGGGGTACCCCAGCATATTATTTGTGACAACGGTAAACAATTCGTAAGTAACGACTTTAAGAAGTTAGTAGAAAGGTATGATTCCAATATTAGGTATACTACATTTTACCATCCACAAGCTAATTATGTTGAGAGGTCAAATAGGACAATTTGTACTGCCATTCGCTGTTTTATCGATAAAAATCATAAATTATGGGATAAAGAATTGCCAAAAATAGGATATGCATTAAGAACTTCAGTTCACGAAGTCACGGGGTATAGCCCTGCATTTTTAAATTTCAATCGAGAAGTACCATGTAGCGGTAAATATTATGGAAAAAATGATGTCAATATTGATGTAACTAATAGAGACTATTGGATTCAGAATCTAGGTAACCTTTCTAACATTTATCAAGAGGTTCAACAAAAAATCAGTTCAGCGCATAAAAGAAATGCTCGGTATTATAATTTGCGAAGGCGCGAAATGGAATTTTTTGTTGGTGACCATGTATGGAAGAAAAATTTCGTCCTGTCTAATAAGGCAGAAGACTTTGCTAAAAAGTTAGCACCGCGTTGGGTTGAGTGCATTGTAGTTAAAAAGAAATCTAAATTAGTCTATGTCCTCAAGAGTGCTGAGGATGGTAGTAATTTGGGAGAATGGCATATACAGGATTTGAAACCATGTCACGGATCCATGTCTGATTTTTCTTGCGGAAGTGAGGGTCCCGGATCAGTAGTATCAGATGAGTAGGTCTGTCTTGGTATTGTTGCCTAAAAATTTGCACCATAGGTGGATTCGAAGTGCATATAATTGTAAATATTTTACTTAGTAGGTAGATTCTAAGTTCATAGATCTTTAGGTCCTGTAAATATTAATTTAGGTATCAGTAGCTATAATTAGGTAGGTGCGCACCAATATATTTAATACCGGCATATAAAAAAATAATAAAAAAAAGGTTCTCATCATAAAAATTGTGTACTACGTCCACAATTTTTATATTCTTTGGAGGGGGGTGAGTGTAACATGAAAATTGACCTTTTCATCTTACAGTATATATCTAGTTTGAAAACATGATAAATAATATAAAGAACTTACCAACATGAAGATACCAACCAATGCATATTTGTTTTCTTCTTATTTAAGTAAACAATTGGTATCTTCACTATGATGCGTTCACATTGCTCACTCTGTATAATACCCTTTATTCAGTAAAATACACAAGACCATATAATAATTCCATTTACTTCAAGATACATCTCTGTAATTAGTAATCTCAAAGTTGTGGATAGGCCAAGTCTGGAAACTCCCAATTTATCTGAAAGAAAAAGTAAAGTTCATTGATGCATAATAATAAAGAAAGTAGTTAGTACTTACCAGAAAGAAAGACTCCTAGAAGGTTGGTTTTTATTAGAGATCGTCGATCAGTTCAGAATATCTGGAGACAGCTTGTTGTTCTGAAACAAATTTAAATAGTTAGGGCTCATATCGTCTAAAATCCTGAAATGTTGGAAAATATGATCAGTGATTACTTGGAGAAGGCTTACCTTGTTATTTATTGAGTGAAAGGTAGATTTCGTGGAAAATTCGTCATTTTTCTAAGCATTTATTGTAGGTTATTTTGTTTTGGGCAAATCTGACACATAAGGGACAGGAACCACATTTCTTCGTCGTCTTGTTTTAGTGGTTTTCTCTCCCGGACAAGCGGACAATTACCTTAAGCTGTGTTTTCGGTGATGTGTGTGATCCGGCGTCCTTGTTAGATGTTCGTGTACGAGAGAGATGATCCTATGCTGTTTTGATGGACACCATGCTTCAACAGTCTGAGAGTCTAGGTAGTTTCCAGCTGTTTGATTTTTATTGGCTAGTATTAATTATTAATTATTTCCCGCACTTATTTTGAATCGGCGGAAATGTCACTTGATTGGCAGCGATGGAGATGACAGTAAAATAACCAATTAGGTACTGTTTTGATAACTCGTGACTAAACTCGTGATGGTTTTTTCTGATGAGCAGAAACCCATTTTAGTATAAGTTGGCGTTGTGTTTTTTTTTTCTAATGGACTTGTTTAGCCTGTGAAATGGGCAGGGAATCAGGTTGGCGCAGGAAATCTCTCTTCCGGCTTCTTTCATTTTCCATCATCACGGCGATTGTGAGGAGCATGATGAACGTGCTTGAAAAGATGATTTATTTTCGTTGGAGAGGTGATCGTGCAAAGGCCATCCTGATAGGAGGTGAGTCTCGAGATTATTTGATTAGGTCTTAGTCCATGATTGAATTTAAGTGATATTTTGACCCTGAATCTATTCTCATAGATTTGAGGGCCTTGCACGTGGGGTCCGAATACTTTGGGACTTCTCTACGTTCAATCCAGGCTGACTCTTTGGCTTACTCCCTGGCTTACTCTTCGGCTAACTTCTCGGCTTACTTCCTGGCTTCTTCAGAGGCCAAATCTACCATCAAGCGGACATTCTTAGAGAGGGGCTCTGGTAGGTCCCTTTCATATCTGGATAACGACCACCCGGTGCCTGGACTGCCTAGCGATCTTCTGCTCTCTGGGGTGCTTCGACTACAGGCCCCATTCTTCTTGGAGTCATCGACTCCACTCATCGAAGGTTCCAGGGCTCTGCTGTTACCAGTTTTGGGTAACTGAGGCATGGCTGGGTAACTTCATTAGACCCTCTACGAGTGACCACTACTATGACCACACCACTACTTTAACCATGAAGTAAGAACTTTCCAATTTTTCATATAAAAACCTTGTTGGAACCAGTTTTGATCACCAAAGGCTTCTACAATTATTGAAGATCACATATTGCGCAATATACTCCAGGATTAGGAGTTCATACCCTTTATTTTTAGATTTTTTTGTAAAGATTTCCTGAAATTAATTAATAACTTCCTGTGAGCTGCGTTTATAGGCCTATAGCGGAGAGTTTGATAGTGCATACATACATTTGTGTTGAATTTGGATTACTAGCTCCATAACAGTACATGCAGTCGGTTTACTAGGATTATGAGAAAATGGTGTATTTTACTGATTATTTTCTATAACATTTATTAAATTACCCATGAGACCACAAGTGTGCTTTTATTATTTCTGATTCTAATTTTCTTTCAGGATAAAATTAAATTTCTATGACATATTTTGTTTTAACATCCAGATATAACTTTTCTTAGTTTTTCACTTAAAAAAAAAAACAAACTAAGTGGCGCCTAACTAGCCACCTAACAAAGTCAAAACTCTAGGCCTTTGCTCACCAGACCCAAGAGTTGCCGGAGCCAGTTATGAGACTTGCTTTACTTATTTTTATTTATGAAAATAAATAAAAAGTAGTGAAGTTCGTATCACATTGTGAAAGACGATCATCATTTCACTGGCGCCTTCAGAGGGTGGGCGCATCAATCTTGTAATTTGGGGTACCGCAAGTCCTTCGTAGTGCCCATAGTGTTCCACAATTTTTCCGGATATGATTCTCATTTCCTTCTGAGAGAGATTGGACGAGAAACGTGGACAGGTGAGCGTACTTCCGATAAATATGGGTAAATACATTTCTTTCACCCAACACAACTCTGAAACCGGTAATAAATTTAGATTCATCGACTCCTTGAGATTCCTGGGTGCCAGTTTAGACGAATTGGCATCCAATTTAACGAAGGATAGCTTCCAAAATTTGAGAAAAGAATTCAACCAATTAGACGCTTCTAAATTCGATCTACTCACAAAGAAAGGTGTTTTTCCATATGACCACATCAATAGTCCGAGCATATTAGACGAAACTGAACTTCCGCCCATTGAGAACTTTTATAATAAATTGAACGATGAACATATCGATGATGTGAGGTACGCTCATGCTCAAAACGTATGGCAACAATTTGGATGTCAAAATTTAGGTGAATACTCGGATTTATACATGAAAACAGATATCCTTCTTCTGGCAGATGTTTTCGAACAATTCAGAGAAGCTGCTTTGAGGACGTATACCTTAGATCCGGCTTGGTATTACACCCTACCAGGTTATACGTGGGATTGTATGCTGAAGTACACGAAATGTTCACTACAAATTTTGAAAGATGTTGACATGCTGATGTTTGTCGAAAAGGCGATAAGAGGTGGTATTTCGGTTTGTTGTAACCGCTTTTCTGAAGCCAACCATAAGTACACTTCAACATACGATCTAACGAAACCACCAAAGCATCTTCTCTACTTGGACGTTAACAATCTATATGGATGGGCAATGTCAAAGCCCCTCCCTTATGGAGGGTTTGAATGGACTGATGCCAACATTGACGTCACATTGATTCCCGACGATGCGCCAGAAGGATATATCTGTAGTATCTGTACAAGTAGATTTGGAATATCCGGAAACCTTGCACGATCTACATAAAGACTTTCCGTTTTGTGCCGAACACCGCAAGCCACCTGGTTCAAAGTTGGCAAAATTGATGACCACGTTACACCATAAAAAGGAATACATCATTCATTATGTTGATTTGAAACAAGCTCTGGCAAATGGCTTGAAGCTCACCAAAATTCACAGGGTAGCGAAATTCAAACAGTCTACGTGGTTGAAGCCCTACATTGATCTGAATACTGGATTGAGGGCTGCAGCCACCAACACATTCGAAAAAAACCTATATAAACTTATGAATAATGCCGTGTTTGGAAAGACGATGGAAAACATTCGTAAACATCGCGTCGTCAAATTATGTAGATCATGGAATGGACGCTATGGGGCTGAAAATATGATCGCCAGTTCAAAGTTTCGTGGCCGGACGATTTTGGGTGACGATCTGATTGCTATCGAATTGGCTAAATCTGAAATAGTCTTCAACAAACCCCTATACATAGGGATGGCTATTTTGGATTTATCCAAGACGTGCATGTATAATTTCCATTACGATTTCATGCTTCCAACAATGGGGGTGGAGAAATGTAAGTTAATGTATACAGACACCGATAGTTTCATTTACGAACTTGGCAGTGATGATGTATATGCGGAACTTATAAAAAATAACTTGTCCAAATTTGACACATCCGACTACCCTTCTGACATTCCGTATGGAATTCCGCAAGTGAATGAAAAGGTCTTGGGAATGATGAAGGATGAGGCAAATTCGAAAATAATAACACACTTTGTAGGCTTACGTTCAAAAATGTATGCCTACAAAGTGCAGGGGGGTGAAGTCACCAAAAAATCCAAAGGGGTTGAATTTAATGTGGTTAGGAATAAGATATTCTTCAATGATTATGTGGCTTGCTTGAAGGACTTCAAGGAGCAGACAGTCACATAGCGGACAATCCGTTCCTTCAACCATCAATTATTCAGTATTGAACAGTCGAAAATTGCGCTGAGTCCTTATGACACCAAGAGACACCTACTTCCAAATTGTTATGACACCCTGCCTTTCGGACATTCCTCCATAGCTGACATATGATTCTTCTTCCATATACATTCCTCAACAATATCACCTTCATGTTCTGAGAAATGACAACTGATAATATTTTACCCACAACACTGATTTTTTCAATCTAGTTGTATATACGCTTACTATTTTTTACTCTATACACTTTATTTATTATATAATGTAGATTCTTTATTTTAGTTTTTTTATACACTATGTATTTTTCACTATGTTTAATGAAAGTTTCTTGAAAATTTGGTTGTCTCATTGCTGCAAATAAAGGAACCTGCTTCAAAACGTCGAAAAAACGTCACAAACGTCAAAAACGTCCAAAAACGTCAGAAACGTCAAAAAAACGTCTAAAAAGCGTCAAAAAAAAACGTCAAAAACGTCGAAAACGTCGAAAACGTCAAAAAAACGTCGAAAAGCGTCAAAAACGTCGAAAAACGTCGAAAAACGTCGAAAAACGTCGAAAAACGTCGGTAAGCGTCAAAAACGTCAAAAACGTCGAAAAGTGACAAAAAACGTCGAAAAACGTCGAAAAAACGTCGAAAAGCGTCAAAAAACGTCAAAAAACGTCGAAAAACGTCGAAAACGTCACGTTTCTAACGAATCAACGTTCAGAATGAACCCGCTACAAAACGTCAAAAACGTCACGTTTTCCACGTTTCCAACGAAAGTCAACGATACCTGACTAGGAGTAAAGAAAAGCTGAGCTATTTCAATATTTAATTGTTCCAAATCATTCAGTACATTGTTTTTAAAGTAATACAAATATTCTCTAAGTGCCATGCTCAACAAACTATTATCAGATATTTCACAAAATGCATGTAATGCATCAAAACAGCTTTTATTATTGAAATGAGTCCTTGTCAAATTCAGAATATTGTGATAATAAGCACAAAAGTTAATATCTTCCAACCACGCCACTCGATGGGCCACTAGTCTTTGGTCGGCTTCAAGGATCTGGGTGACATCTCTTTCGTCCATGTGGAACTCAACCTCGTGTTTTCTGACCAGTAGGAATTTTGTATCATCATACACGAGTTGTGTGATTTCACGAAAAACTCCGCATGGAAAGGTGATCGGATCATACTCATCTGCATGGGTTGGTAACTGTTCGAGGAAGAAATCCATCAATTTATGTCGCAGCAAGTCGATGAAGATGTTCCACTCCAACACACCAAAAGATATTTTGTTTGGTGTCATGTAAGGTAATATAACTATGGCTGGACTGAATATTCTGGCTGGACTCAAACCGACTTTAGTAGTAAAGATTGGCCGGTTCTGGCTCTCCGCCCTAGGTCACCGTCCTCCGACCTTGGGCGGAGTGACCTTGGGCGGGAGTGACCTTGGGCGGGAGTGACCTTGAACGGGTCTGACCTTGGGCGGGAGTAACCTCGTATAGTGAAGTGTCGACAGCACGCCCTTGAACGCGGAGGTGACCTTGAGGGCGAGACAAAGTGACCTTGAAGGAAGGTTGTACGAGTAACCTTCGCATATGTGACCTTGGGAACGAGTGACCTTGAGTTGTAGAGAGAGAGAGAGACCTCGACCTTGGAGAGGGAGGTGAAAGCGTGTGCGACCTTGAAAATGGGAGTAGGCTGGTCGACGTCGTTTTGGTAGAAGTGGGGTGCTGTGTTACGTCACATATCCCAGTTCCTATAAATACATCATTGTATCGTCTGCGAGAGCATAGTTCTCCTAATAATACGGAAGATACGCACCACCAACTCGCACATAAAAAATATACCCGCTCAAATTGATTGGGAATATAAAGTGTTTGCAATAAAAGTGTACGTGAACTGTTATATGTAAGTAAAAATTATTTATATACTTTTTACACCTCTTTTCACTCAACAAAGAAGAATTTATAATGGCAGCTCCTAAAATTGATTTGTTAACGATAAATAATCGAATTAACGAAGACAATGATATTATCAAGCAAACTGTTATCTCATCACTACTCTTGAATAAAAGCTATGTGGTCAAGAAAATATCACTATGTGGAACCAGGTTTGGTAGGAGCGGTTCTGTAATATTGTACGATGAAGAAACTGAGGCTAGTCTGAAATGTTGGTTGCCCAAAAGAGTTGTAGAGTTGCTGAGTGACAGCGACATTGATGAGATGAATTCTTCAAATGGTCTTTATACTCTAGCATATTTGGGCCAGAGTGAGCCATTATATGTAGGTGCAAAAACGAGGGCTCTCATCAAGTTTGACTTCAAGCAAAATTAATTCGGAATTATTCTACTTAATTATTTCTGATAGGTTTTTTTAGTATAGTTTAGTGAAAAGGGTTTAAAAATTATATGATAATTATTATTACATTAACACAAGCCACTAACGCAGATCGTACCGTTTGCGGTAAGTAATAAATTAGGTTCCAAAAAGAATTCAATGAAAGACTAATCTCCCAAATAATCTCATCATTACCAAACTTTTTTTTATCATTTACAGACTCCTGTTCCCCAACATGTGGATGTATTATTCTAGTCAATTCTGGCCGGCAGCGGAAGACATCAAATCAGCAGTGAGCAGGTTGAAATGTCAGTTCTCTGATTTGTCACGTGATGCAATGCATGCGACAAATTATGATTTGAGCATATGCTTCGATCGAGAACAAGTTGAACGACTCTGTAAACAAGCCGAACAATATAGAAAGGGTTATATGTTATGCGCCCGGTTCGAATATGGTAGCTTCACTTTGGAGGAATTTCTTGAAGCAATGGTGGGAGAGGACTTGGACCAATTTCTGTATGAAATTTTTGATTTCCTACCAAACAGCCTGATACGGAAGTACAACTTGGGGGTAATTCCAGAATCATCCGACAACGAGGAGGAAGGAGAAGAAGAATCGAAATGATGATATTGCTAAGAGATGCTTCAATCATACTATTATCATTTGCATGTATATATATAAATTATGGAATGATGATGATGAGCTCGCATTTTTCATTGTCTATCAATCAAGAAATAAAAACGATGATTTGTAAAACATTTGTTTACTTTTATTCAATTTAGTGCAGATACATGTGTCGATAATAATAATAATAATAATAATAATAATCATGATGATAATAAATAATAATGAACATAATAATAATAATGAAAAAACTGATCTAATACAATTATAGGCTTCGAATGCTCATGGTCGGCTGTGGCGGTGGTGGTGGAGGTGGACGGAGGCTAGAATTTGCTCCAGATCTGTAGAGTGTATTCAAGGAGCACCCAACTGTATTGAACCATCTAGTGCGCTATATGTCAAAAATGCATCGTGAAGAATGAGCGCATATACCTTGGTATTAGATGGAAATTTCGATTGGCGTGTCTCAAACTCCAACTTGATATCGACAGTTGAAGATTTCAATGTGTCCGGTTGATGGCTGCAGTCTATGATGAATAACGGATTTTTTCTAAACTGCTCAATACTCATCATTGGTTCGCTCATGTCTTTACCATAATAGCTTCGTTGAAAATTATCGTATGCATAATAGGCTACAGCATCTAACTTTTTTCCAAAATCCAAATTCCACCGTTCATAAGGGTAAACTTCCGAATTCAAATACAGTCGAATATTGTTGACTCCCGCATGAATGAATTGGGTGGTATCCTTGGATCTATTATCTGTGTTACCAGAATTTTGGAAGCCTATGATAATGTACCTTGGTCGCTCGAGACTATTGGTGGTTTTAACAGCCCAAATGTCTGAAGATGTTTCACGAATTGACGGTAATTCATACAGATCCCACATCCTGTATGCAATTTTCACTTTTGCTGTAGAACTTTTATTGAGACGGTTCAGTAATTTCAACCTCTGCTTATCCGATGGCATAATATGTCCTATCTTCCATTCGATTTTGTTAATCTCCACACTGGCATCAACTTCTCCTATATAGCAGTTTTTGAATGATCGAGCTATGATGAGTATCAGCTCCTGTTTCACATTCAATATACCTTTATTATAATCCTCAGCGAACCCCATTAAATATTTTAGCGGTAGTTTTCCACTGAATATGTGACTAGATTTGTCTAGAATTGGCTGATTTTCGCTATCAATTCCCCATCCGACTGTTTCAAGAAATTTAGCGTTAGAATCTCCATAAGAGATCATGCTCTTCATTGTGGTAGTAATGCCTGGTTTTCGAATCATACATACTTGTTCGCCACCCATTTCATAACGAATTTCATCGAAAAGGAAGGCTATGGTATTGTTAGATAGATAGCAGGATTTCGTTGCATCATCTGGTGTGAATTTCCCCTCAATATATATGTAGCTATCAGAAATATCGAGTATCAAATCTTGAAAGTTGACAGCTATCCTGATTTCATCAGAATTCTTGAATGATGGTGAACCATATGGTTTGTATGTATGCTCATGTAGGCTTATTAGTGAATGATCGAAAATTGGTTCATCAAACACCTCCAATTGTAAGCTAGTAGAACTTGTGACAACCATTGTTCACTAATTTCTACTCGTTCGTCGTCGTCTTTGTCGTACTGTCAGACCAATAGATTCCAAAAAAATTATATTGCTCGCAGATAATCTATGACGTCCTACCTGACCGGTGAGCTGTCTTTGAATGAATCCTCTACCCCGTTTACACTTCTTCTTAACGGTAGTGTGTAGAATAGTGGGGTTTGCAGCGAGAGATACACGTTTTGATTGGTTTCCGAAGCAGAAACCCATTTTTCCAAACCGTTGTAATAATTAATCGAGCTGTTTCAATTCCAATTTTACTATAATCTTCTCTCCGCGAAAGTCAACTAATCGGTCATTATCATCCAAAATTCTCAGTGTGATGTTGTCGATAGACTGACGCCCTGTCGGACTGATTGGTAGATATATAATATTTTTCGGCTCCTTTGAGAGTTTGTATCCAGGCTCCACATCGACATCGAACTCGTAAAGCGTGTGAACCTCCTCACCATTGAGGTACGCTCCAGTAGTGATATTACAATCAACCCGTATCAATCGTACCTTTATGATGTTCACAGGTGAAGTGGATTCATGCAAAACATTGGGCTTGTTATATTTCGGTTCAAAGCCCAAGACTTTGGCTATAGAATCGTTAATACTCAAAATTAACATAATTTCGGACTTGAGTTCACATTTGAGCGTATTATTGTTAGCTCGAAGGGAGAATATATCATCAATATTTCGCCCATTCAGCGAAGTCCAACTCTCTATAGCCTTTTGTATTGCTCTATTGATTTCATCTATCTCATAGGCGCCTGGTGGTATCTGAAGAACAACGCTTCCCTCTTCGAACCAAATACCTAATTTGTTATTTGTCTCATCTATATTGAGTATAGAGTTGTATGAATAGAAACCGTGTAACCCCAAGCCGTAAGTATTCCTCACATCGAGTTCGATTGGTGGAAAAAAATCTGCACTCAAGATACTGCGATCTCCAGAAATGGTGAATGTTTGCGACATAACTTTTTACAATTGGAAAAGCAAACACAGCAAAAACCAAACAACAAGCTTCAGTGTATACAGCAGCAGTAGTAAGAAGTATCAACCTTATTGCTGCCTGCAACAATGAAGAATGTTCTTGTTTTCGTTCGGCGAAGCATTAATATCGAATTTATTGTTAGTTGCCACATTTACATCTTCTATTTGACAAAAGCAGCATAATATTTTTCTTGGTATCGGCCCATCATTGACATCTGCGCTGGAATGGTCACTATCCTCTTGGCGGCGGTGTTCGTGGTGCTCCTCACAAAATCGATATTTTGATACATCTTGATCGTTGCGTAATTGTTCAGGTAATTTATCCCACACTAGAGCTATCTCATGTGAAGCGCATCCGATTGAAACCTCTTTCGGCATATCAGCGAGCTGTTTCTCACTCATCTTCAGCAAAGATCGTAATCTCGAGTAAGCCAATAATGCGTGCCCCATTTGTTTGATGCTTTTTCTATCCATATTATAATACGTAGTTTCCACTCTTCGACGAGAGAAATTTCAAGCACAAATGACCACACCAGACTGTGTTGTAATCCTGTTGACGGTCATAGTTATATACGATTTTGATAGCTTTTGATCCCCTTCTTAAATATTTCACCAACTCTTCGGGTGGCGGCAAATCGCCATAACTATCATAATATTCGACTACCCCACCACGTTTTTTATAAGCAACCCAATGTGTCCCTTTACCTCGAATACCATCGAGATTCAGAATGGCTGATTCTATGTGGCGCGGTGGAGAATTTGGTAGATTATCTCTCATAAATATACCTCGAAAGTTTGGAACACCCATTTTCTCTATGTATTGTGATAAATCGATGTCCGTCAACGCCCTTCGAGGTAACCCTGCTAGTTTTTTGAACTTTGCGGCTTCAAGTAAATGCCCAGTCCTTTTCGGTACGGCTTCAAATATACTCCTTTACCGATCTTTCCTAGAGCGATCGCCTCCAAATGTCTATTATGACGATTCGCTTCAGAGAGTTGCTCCCTACCCTCTTTAGCTGAATTAATAGCTCGAGCTATAACAGCACTACCTGCAGCCAAACTCCCCAATGCCGATAATCCCGCAAAAATGGGTATGAGTGGAAGAATTCCTCCAACTTTAGGAATTGGTATAATGCGAGGTGTTCGGATATTATTCTTTTCACCAGCCATCTTGACGAATTTTCTAGCAGCTCCAATCGCCATAAGAGAAGTCTTGGCCAAGTTTTTGGCGAGTGCCCCCTTCTTTCCCACTTGTCGCAACACATTGCGAACTTTGTGCACTATGCCGGACCCAAAAGCAATTTTTCTCCCACTCTTGGTAGTATTCTTCTTCTTCCTCGACACTCGACGTTTCTTCACTCCGCTGCTGCATCCCATACCAAAACGCCTCTTTCCCTTCATTATATTGGTAACAAGCCAAGATGCGGCCCTCTCTCCTGCAGATGCGTCCTTTGATTTAACACGTTTCCACGCGGATTCTTCCAATTCCTTATCGGCAGAATGCCTTGCAGATAAATCGTTCGGATGCTTGAAATATGCGATATCGTGTTCCTTGCACGCTCTATCTAATTGGTTAATGCCTGGATCACCTCGAGATAATCGTTTCTGTAACTTTGTTCCAGGACCACAATATTGATAGCCGCCGGGAATATGTAATTCGACCGGTAATTTATTAATTAAAGTATTAACAAATCCTCTGCCAGTCCTCTTTCCTCGAAAACTTTTTTCACCGTTATCGCTTGCCGATGTGTATCGCTTCAGCTTCATAATATAAATGACATTCACAGAGTTTGCGATTCATTATATAGCATTTGACCATCATACAATGCAGATGAAATGGTATAATTACACAACGTCGGCATGGATTCCTACTACCTAATACTATACGCAGTCTCATTATCGGCCCATCAAATTGCGGCAAAACGAATGTTATGATATCCCTCCTCACCAACGATAATGGTTTGCGATTCGCCAATGTTTATCTCTATTCAAAATCGTTGTATCAACCCAAGTATGAGTACTTGCGGAAAGTATTGGAACCGATAAAGGGACTGGGGTTTTATATATATAGTAATAATGTGGACATTGTTGAACCGGAAGATGCGAAGCCACACAGTATTTTCATATTCGACGATGTGATATGTGAAAAACAAGATGTAATCAGATCATATTTCTCAATGGGGCGCCATAAAAATGTGGATTGCTTTTATCTAGCACAAACGTATTCGAGAGTGCCCAAACAGTTGATTCGCGATAATTCCAACTTCATAATCATGTTTAGGCAGGATGATATGAATCTACACCACATTTATTCCGATCATGTATCTCCAGATGTAACATTTAAACAATTTCAAGAAATGTGTGCACAAAGTTGGACAGATAGATACGGGTTTCTCGTTATAGATAAGGATAGTGAAATTCATGAGGGCCGTTATAGGAAAGGGTTCGACTGCTTCATATACCCCTAAAACAGCAACTGCATGGACTTCATTCAACCTTTGGATAGCACAATGAGCACACCTAGTAGTGAAATCGCTTCAGAAATACACGTCAAACGCCAACTTGTTGAAGCAACCGATGCGGTAAGGAATAAATTTAAAAGTCTCAAGAGCGAACTCACCAGTAACCAAATGATGTTAGAAAAAGCTTATGAGCCGCTGACAAAACCATTGAAGGTTATCACCGCGGCAGCAACGGCGGCAGTAGCCAAGCAAAATCTAATGCCAGCAGCTACTCCGAAGAGTTATAGCAAACCTTCAACGTTGACAATAGCACACCCGACATATTATTCCACACCAATATCGAGTAATGAGGCGAATGCTGTAGCGACGAAGCCGTTCAAGAAACATGGGGAGTCTGGGAATTTCAGCAATAGCTTTCAACCGCTACCATCATCGCCTCATAACGGAGGACCTAAGTATACAACTCTATTGGAAACACCACCAACATCTTCGTCTCAAATTTCAAGCAGTGATATTACAGTGTATCCTTCTGTAGATGGAACAACCGCGAGCGACTTACAGGGCAAAATAATGGAGCATTTGAGGAATTTGAAAGAAAATAACTCGAATTATGATACAACATATGGCGTTCACATCGATTCCAAAACAGGGGAATTGAAAATGGGTAATATGGAAATCCGATTTCCTGCAGACCAAATCGAATTATGGCGCGGTAATAAGAGAAGCGTAGCGTTTCCAGCAACAACTGGATTATACGATTTGATCTTTATGAAACATGTGCCAAGAACTATCGATGATCAAGATAAAAGAATATACACCACTTTGTTGGAGACTACACGAGCGCCATATAAGAATTATGACATCAGAGAAGGTTTGAATAATAGTGCGAGGAAGAAATATCAGCTAGTCATAAAGCCATTAATCGGCACACCGCATAAAATGAGGAGTCAACTCCTGTTAAATGAACTTAAAGGTGGTAGAGGAATAAGCAAATCATTACCATACAGAAAAGTCGTGAGTAAACAACACAAAGAGTATGCTTATTGGAATGAAGCAAAAGAGCTGGTTGACCGCCTCCGACTACTGTGGGGTTCTAAAATGGCTGGCCACACTGGACACGATAATGAGATAATGTCAATAATAGAGGAGTTGCGCGAAGAAGGCATCGTTTATTAATGTTATTAATGTATATATATATATATATATAACATCATAATATATCAAGGATTGATAAAGTCCGTTACTTGTCGATGGTCTAGCCAGTACCAATATAGTCGCCGCAGGTAGAAGATGTCTTATGAAACTATCGATAAATTTGGTCGTAAAAGGAGCAAATCCATGAGTTTTATACAAGGGCGGCCTGGTATCGGATTCAAGCTTGATAGCAATGGAGATTATGATGTGCAGGGTAAACGATTAACAAATATCGGTAATCCGTCGAGTGGTGGAGATAGTGTATCACTGGAGTTCTTCAACCAACATTTGTCTGAGATGAGGGAATCTTTGAATAATATGAAGATACGCATCAAAGATCATCCTCAGATTACCCAGAAGGTTCTCATGATGGCACCTAAGGTCAACGAAGCAATCGAGAAGATGGGCACCATGTCAAAAGAAATCGATGAAATAATGTCGGAATACAACAACAAAATCCAGGGTTTTGCCGAAAGATTATTGAAATTGGAAGTAGAAGTAGCATTCGGAAGGGGAAAGACCCCCCCCCGGGAGGGGGGGAAAATTTGCTAAGTCCTTATTTTGAATTTTTTTTTTTTTTTTTTTTTTTAACTACCTACTCCCCATAACCCTGTTTTAAGGATTTGATTTCATTTAATTTTATTTTGTAGGTGTTTTTTTTTTTTTTTTTTTTTTTTTTTCTTCAATTCACATGTTTCATATACTCATCAATTAGTTAAACATCAATCAATTATATTATTAATATTTTTATTTATACACTTAAATACTTATGAATAAGAACTTACTATGCTAAACTAATAACTAGAAACGATAAGTTTTGATTTTCACGCTACAGCATGTGGGGCACACATCCGACATGCGGATCTGGTGTAGATCGGCTGAACATACGGCACAGAAGAACGACCTAGGTGCCTCATCGAACCTCGTTGTAGAATGCGATGAGGTGTGCTGATATGCTCCAACAGTATTAGGCTGCCTTAGATATATGGAGAAGCATCTATAGCAAAGATTTGTCATCCCCTGCGTCGTCGTCATGATTGTGACCATTGATATCGTTGTGCAGAACAACATCTGCTCATGGCGGGCCCTGGCAACTGACACATCTATCCACTTAGATTGGAACCTAATCTGCTGGTCCCCCTCATCGCACACGTCGTCAAACCCTTCATCGGTGACGAGGTCTACCTGCTCGACGTCGCCTCCATTCACACCATCGTGATTCTGAAACAAAAAAAAAGACACGAATCAGTAAATGGTGCGATAGATGGTGAATAATGTATGGCCGCTACATGAGTGTATGGGTTATGTACTTACCACCGCTTCCAGAACGTTCTCGTCAATGAGGGATAGTTCTCGGAGCTTCTTGCAGATCACGCTGAATTCAAGTGCCATCGTTTCTGTGACTAATACGATCGATACAATGTTCAGAACTGTAGAAACTGTTTCGAATGATGCTCTGATAGGATTTCCACATCTTTTATGTCATTGAAACGAGGTGGGGGAGTGGGCGGTGTTAAAAAATCGTAGAACTCTCACCACCATACTGGGAGAGAGGTAGGGAGTGGGTGGCGCTACCCCCACCAACCCTTAGCTTTAGTGGTGCGTATGCGTTTTGCGAATGGGAGTGGGGTGGGACTTGATTATCGAATGGAGGAGGGTGAAAATCCGACTATTGAAAAGATGAGGATGCGAGCGTTATCACCACAGTGTTTCACAAACTACCAACGAGTAAGTCGAAGAAGAAACAGGAGAAGAAGTAGAAGCAGCAGTGAATTTCCAACCAATATCGCCTCCGCCAATATCATGACGTACCCGAAATCGTGGGATTCGAAACCTCTGGCAGTCGCTTACCCTACTGTTGTGGACGGATTGACAATCTGTCACAATTGTGACATTGGGTGGGCTGCAAACGAGATTAACCCGTGCACTGGAGTGTGTCAGCGCTGCATCAATGCCAATCGCCAGGCGTCACCGGAACCACCATCACGATCGACCTCTACGGCGGCCAACGTTGTCGGAGCGAAATGCATAAAATGTACCAAGCTGTTGCGGAACACCAATATGGGGATTTGTAGGAATGTGTGCAGGGAGTGTAGCATGGAGCGGTGGCTACGGTACCAGCGATGTATCAGTTGTAGCCAATACCGAAATGATTGTTGGAATGGTGTTTGCCACGGTTGTTCGAATGGGGCATATTTTTGCGAAATACTCGGCCACATGTTTGAAAATTCCAACAAACATTTCAAGGCTTGCTGGTGCCTCCCTTATGAGCGTCGGGTGTTCCGCAGAAGTCTTAATATGCCGCCGGTGGAGTCATATTTCGTGCGTGAGCATGGTAGCTCCGATGAAGACGAGTGATTTTGTTTTTTTATACTTTATTATTTTTTTTTGTACATTTATTATGTGAATATTTTTCAACACAGCAAATATATATATATTTTAACTTGAAAACATTTCTCGATTTCATTCTTCATGGGTTTGGTGGAAGGGTAAAAAAAAGAATAGATATTACCGAATATGTTCGAATTATTTATTATTGAAAAAAAAACACACACACACATACACTTCAAGTAATAGCAGATTTCTTAATCCAAGAATTGTGCTCCTTAGGATATCCAAGCCATTTGACATATACGTTCTTTCCACTTTTGTCTTTCTTCAAGACTTTCTCCACCAAGTACACTTTTGGATTCTTAGTTTTCAACAATTCCATCTCATAGAAAGAACCCTTTATTGGATTGCCTTCAATATCGTCCAGATTGTAAGTTGTCGGATTAGTAATATTCACTTTGGTTATCGTGAATAATTCCGTGGAGAAATTTGCTGAATAACCTTTTTCGAACACACCTTTGAATTTGCTTATTCTTACAACATCACCAACTTTATATTTTGGTTTCGGCGCTATTTTTGGGTGACTATAAGCTTTCAGTATTGTAGTGGGAGTTACTTCAGAGGGCTTCATACCAATTGTCCTATGTTTTTTATCATTGTATGAGTTGGTTAAGTGCGGTAAGATATCGTACCACTTATATTCCCCTCTGGCAGAAAATTCTCGGTAAATCCAATTTTTCACTGTTCTGATTACTCGTTCCACAATCGCCGCCTTCATAGTACTATATGTTGAATAATGGTTTATTTTATATTCCTTCATCAGATTACTGAAATGAGAATTATAGAATTCTTTTCCAAGATCGCTTTGCATGTTTTTCGGTGAATACTCGGCCACTCTCAATATATGTTTCATAGCTTGTGTCACTTCTTGACCGGTTTTACTTCTGATAGGTTTTGTCCATAGATATTTGGAATAGCAGTCAATAACGAATAATATATATCGGTATCCTTTATTTCGTTTTGCATACGTCTGCATTTCGGCTAAATCTATCTGCCACAAGTCTGCAAAACCTTTTATTATGGTTCTTCTTCTTTTGAAATTGCGCCTTGCAGGCTTGTGCAATTCTTCAACAATTTGTCTTTTAATTGGACTTATTTCCATACTTTCATCTTCAAGTAGTTGTGACCACTTTGAACCCCGTTCATATACTGATTACTTTTCTCATCCAACATGTACATATATAAGTGGAATTGAAGGAATGTATCAAGAAATTAAGAACCTGATATTTTTTAATACATTTATTGATGAAACTACATGACTATATATACAAAAAACTATATGACTAATGACTATGTACAAACAAAAAACAAAAATCAGTCGAAGATGATGGCATCCTCGAGAATCTGCACCATCTCGAGCTCGTCGAACGCGTCCATCTCCATGTCCTCCATGATGAATGGATCCAGGTAAGCACCCCTTGCTACTGGACGGTCATCCTCCTCCTCCTCGACGTCGCTCTCCGCTCTTCCGATGCCTCCTAAGATGAGGGTGGCATCGGAATCGGAGTCATCTCCATTCCCCATGAGGTCCATACTGCTACTGCTTCTGTCAGAGGCCCCATCGCTGTCGCTGTCTTCGTCTCCGAAGATGACATCCAATACCCAGGGGAATGGGAATGCAGCGTCGCCAGAGGAATCGCAGGGTCCATCAGCTGCAGGTGCTTCCCATGGTTGATGGACAGCATCCGAGGACGAATCGCAGGGTCCATCATCTTCTTCTTCTCCTCGCCAGTTTCCAACCGCAAGTCGATAGCTGGCTCCGTTGTGGTTGGTGGTGGTGTCGGGCTGGTAGTTGCTGTCCATCTTCGAGAGTTGATTTCGAACTGACAATCTCGAGGAGGAAGCAAGTATTTATATGCAGCGGTTGGAGGAGGGGGTGAAAGAAGTAGTAGGGGAAAGAGTAGGGAAGAAAAAGTAGGAGGTCGTAGTCGCTGGGGAATCAATGAGTGGAGATGGTTAAAGTAGTAGGGGGGAGAGTAGAGAGGGAATTAGGGTAGCGATAGGTAGTAAGAAATCAATCGTCAATTGAATTTATCCATATATTATCCAAATCAATAAATACATCATTGTCCATTACTAATTCTACACACATATACAATTTATACACCAACACTATAATATACAACTTATATATAATACAAATTAACATGAAACGAACACATCTAAGTTCGCTCCAAATATTCCTCATTCATCCGATTGAAATGTTCGAGGCGAGACTTCTCCACTTCACAGACTTGGCGAAATTGTTCTTCTGTCGTCAATTGTCGACCTATCTCAGCCAGTCGTGAAAGCAATTCATCTCTTTCTGATGATAAACGAGTAGTTTTGCTTTCACTATCTGTGATCAGTGCATTCACGTTCGCATACCATCGCTTCAATTCACCATCATATTGCCTTATGGCTTCGATAGGTGCTATTGGAGGCGATGGAATGCGCCCGTGAATGGGAGCATTACAATCGGTACCATTATTGCCAGCAGCAGCAGCAGCAAGCCCGTTGAACGCCTCTTGAAGATTCGGCAGTTGGACAGCCGGACGTATAATATCCACACTTATAATTCTGACCCGCTCTGGCTGCTCCTGCTCCTGCTCCTGCGCTTGCTTCTGCTCCTGCTCCTGCTCCTGATCCTGCACCTGCTCCTGCTCCTGCTCCTGCTCCTGCTCCTGCTCCTGCTCCTGCTCCTGCTCCTGCTCCTGCTCCTGCTCCTGCTCCTGCTCCTTCTCCTGCTCCTGTTCCTGTTCCTGCTGTTTCGATGTGGTTGATACAGCATGATCTCTGCCGGCATTATACCACATGCCAGCCTTGCCACTTCGGTAGGGGTTAGATTTGCCTCGATTTCCCAGAAACTTTCGAAGAATTGATGGACTCCCACCTCTCATCCCCAAATTCTTTTTCTTAGGCGAAGGTTTCCGGCAATCGATTTCAGGCTTATCCAACGATGACGGCGTCAGTGATGGTGAAGACGAAGGTGAAGGAGTCTTCTTGCCGAAAAAGAGTTTCTTTCCTTTCCGCATCAAGACACCACCATTTTTGACGTCGCCATCATTGGGATCTCGAACCTTGGCGCCAACCTCCAACCGTGATGATGCCCCAAATTGGTTTCGGCTCATCTTGAGGCATTTCGAAGGCCTTTTGAATACCCCAGTTGCGGGACCAGCACTTGTAGATGGGGTAGGGCCGGATGGTGATCCTTCAAGTAGGGGCATATCTAATAATGTTGCTGACACGCCTGCCCAAGCCTCATCGGTTGCCAGCAATTCACTATTGAAGCTGATATCCAGGTCTTCTTGATCCACATTCAAATTGCTGATAGACCCATCAATGCCTGAAATACAAATTATGAAATCTATAAAATGAACTACCGTCAAGTTATCGAGAAAACTTACTCAGATTAGGGAGAGATCCAATGTCTTCTTCTTCTGCTGCGAAAGCTGTGGTTAAATCGGTGCTAGGCATCTGAAGAAAAAAAATCATTTCAGATCAACGTAGACTATTTGATGAAAAACTGTGAATCGAAATACAATTCACTAGCAATGATCCATATGGCAACAAAATTTGTACTTACAATTGGTTAATCGACGATGTAGTTGGATTGGCACAAAAAAGATGGTATATCGAGAGTACTCTGGTAGTGGAGCTAGTGGATGATATCTGCTAACAGAATGAGGAGTCTCCGTGTATTCAATGAGTTTTATCTGCTAAGCTCCACCTATTCTCCTTCCACCGCTAATATCCGCCTACATCTCCCCCTTCCTCCCCCACCTAGCCTCTTTTCACCAAAACGAACCTTATCGAAAATGTGTGCGTAGCTCAAGGTCGACCTCCACACAAGGCTGCATTATTCAATGCGAACCAAAATTTCATTCGATATTCAATATTATTGTGGTGCAGCATCAGCTGGCTGATATACGTTATAATATGAATAAAACACATCTCAAATAATCTAAGGAATAATTTATTCAAAAATACGTGTATATAATATATATAAATAATATAATATGTAGACTAGATGAAGAGTGTACAGAACTCGTATCACATCATATGGAGACTAGATTAAACAATAAATATGAATATAAGCGTATGAGGTTGGGTACAGAGTTCGCATTATTATTATTATTATCGAGGCTCTGAGTGTTCCATCAACATTTTTATCAGGTCATCTAAATTATCGCTAGAATTTGATTTCTCAGCTGTTTGCATTGTAGCAGATATTGCTTGTTGTACCCAAAGCATATTACGTTCAGGACTTGTTTGATAAAATTCGATATCATTGTGCCCCCAAGGTAAAGTTTTAACAGTATTAGGTATGATAAACCGTTTATCGTCATGGTATGAAAGGGCGACTTTGTTTTTCATTTCAGTATAAATATCGTGCCGATCGCTACGAAAAGTATTCATTTTTCTGAATATCAAGCCACCATTTTCTACGATTTTCTTATAATCATCCATCGATAATTCACTTCTAACAACTGGCCTTGAAACACCCTTCGCTTTTTTCAATTCGGAATTCGAAGATTGAACGTAATACGCTTTGGCACCCGTCCCATAGAAGCTCACAATATGATCATTTGGAAATTCGTCCTTCATATTTCCCACTACTGATTTCGTTATTGGAATATTGAATTTGTTATCTACGGGGTAATTAGATGTGTCGAAATACCTTATATTCTCCTTCATGAAATTATAAAAATTTTCTGTTTCTATTTTCAATATCAAAGAATCCGTATCAGTATACAATAGCCACGATTTACCAGAGAAATGTTTCTTAATGCATTCATACAGAAAGTTATATATAACGACTTTTGATACATCTAATATGCTGAAACCTAAATACAGCGGTTTATCATAATGCACTTTAACTTTTCCCATATGGATTGCTACGGAATTTTCATGGAATACTTTACAGGTTTTATAATTGGGGAGTGCTATCAATGCATTAGCACCCTTCCTCTTTGTGATACTTTCCCAATGAGTCACAAGTTTGATATCGCTTCTTTTATCAACATTCTCCATGGTTTTGCCATAAACTGAGTTGACCATATTCTTGTATAAACTTTTATCAGCTTTATTTGTACTCTTATTACGCATTTCTGTATTGAGGTCAACATACTTTTTTAACCACGGGGATTGCTTAAATTTGAGAACTCTATGTGTTTTTATCAAGGTCAAACCGTTTTCCATAGCCTGTTTGAGATTTCTGTAATGAACAATATATTTAATTTCATTCGACAAATTAGGAATCAGTTTTTTCAGCTTAGATTTCGATCCGGGTGGAGCAATGGATTCCACGAGGAAGGGTAGATCTGAGTGTGCATCATGTAATTCTTCAGGATAGTACACATCAACTTCAAGGACATACCCATATGGGCTATCGTTTTCAACGCTCATGACATCTAACTCTATAATTTCTTGGTTGGTCAACCACCTAAAATCGGATGTTGGTAGCGGCTGTGACATACTATGACCGTACAAGTTAGTTGCATCTAAATACATGATAAATGTTGATGGTTCATTTGGATTGAAGTTTGGGATGAACTTATTATTCGCAACATGACTCCTCAGACTACATTGACTAATCCCGCCTCTTATACCTTTTTTGAAAAAATGAATCATATCGATGTCGGTTAACAATTCCAATTCGATTTTTGTGTACCTCAACATAGCATCCCACGATAAACCGGGTGCAGTGAAGTATTGGCACGGATCTAACTTGTACGTTTTCAAACAAACATTCCGGAAGTTCTCGAAAACATCACATAATAATAAAACATCTGATTTCAAATAAAGGTCGGAGTAATCACCGAGTGATTTACATTGGAATAAATTCCAAACATGCTCAGCTCTTCGATAATCCTCGTCCGAAATATGTGTATTAGATAAATTATCGAAAAAATCACTTTTTGATGGCAGATCTTCATTATCCAATTTATCCATAGACGTTATGAAACTATATGGAAAAACTCCCTTCTGCGTCATGTATTTGAATTCTTCAGGGTCGCGAAAATATCTAGCAGTTTCTACAAATTGAGATTCATTCAAATTTTCGGCCAAGGATTGCAGGGGTTGGGCAAGGAATTTGTAGCTATCCAAGAATCGCAGTTTCAAGAAGACATTCTGATTCACACCGTTTTTTCCCAGATATTCGTCTACTAAAATATGTTTGGTAAATGAAATATATTTTTCCTTAGTTTGCGCGATACAATCAACTCTCTCTTCTCTATCGAATAATTGCTTGATGAAAAGGTGGCTATCGTAGTCACTCATATTATGAAAAAATATGGGGATGAAATTTGGAATTTTAAAGTTCAAATTACATATTGAATGTGCGGCACCGAATCTTTTTTTTCCCGTTAGATGGCAGTGGTCTCTCACTTTGACGTCGCCATATATAAAAGCTTTATCGCAAATACCGCACTCCGTGGCATTAGCGAATTCAACTTCTTCTGCCGGAGTTAATTTTTCCATAGGAACTACACGTTTCAGAAACAAGTTGTATATTATTTTGCAGTCATTGACTAAATTGGATACGAATTTTTTCGCAGCATCTTTTCCACGGAATGTAACATATTTCGTGATAGAATTATCGAAAGAGCATTTGATAAGGTATGCAAATGAATAAGGTTCATGTGCGAATGTTCTATTAGTAAAGGGTTTATTCGAATCTGGCTGACTAGTATGTATCGGTTTCAGAACTGATTCGAAATCTGCATAAATAACGAATGGTACTTTCATCTGTTTCTCAAATTTCTCGAATTTCAAAATGTTTTCAGGTACTGAATTTCCAAATTTATCGACTTTGATCTCTGTGGACGGAGTTGTAGTATATGTATGATTACAATCATTCAGCTGATGGCGTAACAACTTTGTTTCATCTGAGAAATATATCAAACAACCGTCGCAAAAAAATTTCTTATGCGCTTTGGCAGATATCTGGCTAGATACCAGCCTTGATAAATTCTTTATCCAGCAATAGTGGCTATTTCCAGTTTCATCATCTGTGGTCAAAAGTAAATTCACATGTTTACTCATTCTTTTCTTGGAGTAATACAGTGGGCCGACTACATGATATTTCACTTGATGATCTTCAAATACACTCTCTAACCCGTAAACGTTGATGGAACAATCATTGAGAATTTCGAATTTTGGAATGCTACTCACTTTAACAGGGAACTTATACCCACCAAATTCAGAACTGTAGAATAGTGCGGATATGAAGAGGTTTCGCAAACATTAGTTCTTGCCGGATACAGTGCAGACGTCACAGCCCAAGCGAAACAGCACTCGTCCTGATTCACTATGTTTACAACGGCCTTTTTATTCTCTATGAAGCTAGGTAGCTTCATGTAAGAGCATCCACGCAGAGGGCTGTACTTGTTGATATTGATTTCCAGGAACATTATTTTTTCTAAAGCCCAACCTATAACAATAGTAACATCTGTTAATAATCAGAAATATTTCAAAAATCATACCAACTCACCAGAATCACGCTCCTCGAATTCGGTCGTTTGATTCAATAAGATGTCCTTGAATGTGTCAACCACGGCCTCCAAATCCAGCGATGAATCCATGATGTGATTTGGCGTCATGAAGGATTTGATGTCATGAAGATCTTGGGATTGTAAAATGTATCTTCCAAACACTTCCATATTCACCTTGATGGAGTGGTGAATCGAGATAATATTATCCAATGAAG